CCGTCGTGGTGGTGGTGGTGGTGGTGGTGGCGCTGCTGGTTGTAGGCGTGGTGGTGTTGTTCTGCTGCTGCTGCTGCTGCTGCTGCTGCTGCTGCTGCTGCTGCTGCTGCTGCTGCTGGTGCTGCTGGTGCTGCTGCTGCTGCTGCTGCTGCTGCTGCTGCTGCTGCTGCTGCTGCTGCTGCTGCTTGTTGTCGCAATTGTGGTAGTGGTTGTCGTGGTGCTGCTGGTCGCCGTGCTGCCCCTGGTCGTTGTCGTGGTGGTGGTGGTGCTGGTCGCCGCGCTGGTGGTGGTCGCCGTGCTGGTGGTGGCGGTGCTGGTCGCTGTGCTCGAAGCCGGGCTGAGCTCTGAGCCTTGAGCCCCTCTTTTGGCGCTGCCGGCGCGACTGCGAGCGGCAGCGACCCGAGTGGTCGCCCGAGCCCCAGCAGCCAGGCCCCGGGAGGCGCGGCCGGCGCGGCGGCGAGCGGCCAGAGAGGCCCACCGCGCGGCGCCTCGGCGCGGTGGCCCGAGCTGGAGCGGCTGCGTTCGCCTAGGCCTTGACGCTGGCGCAGGCGTTGGCGTTGGCGTCCGAGCCTGCGCCAGTGGTGGCGGAGGGGCTGGCGTCGGCGTTGGCATCGGTGCTGGTGTAGGCGCCGTTGTTTGTGCCGTCGTAGGCGATGCTGTTGGTGCACGCGTGGGCGTCGGCGCCGGCGCAAGGGGTGGTGCGCGTGGTCGCCGTCGTGGCGCTGCTGGTCGTCGCTGCGGTGCGCGTGGCCGCCGTCATGGTGGCGGTGCGGGCAGTAGTGCTGCTGGTCGCCGTCGTCCTGGTGGTGGTGCTGGTCGTGGTCGTCGTGGTGGCGGCGTTGCTGGTGGTGCTGCGGGTCGCCGTCGTGGTGGGGGGGCTGCTGGTCGCCGGCGCGGCCCCGCGCAGTAGCGCTCCTGCCACAGCACTTCTGCTTCCTGGACGCAGCAGCCCTTCCGGCCAGTACGGCGCCCGCGCCGTGCCGCGCGTCGCCAAGGCAAACTTAGCACGGAGTGGGGATACACCAGGGCTGGCCAGCGATCGGCCCGAGCGCCACAGTGCAACTCCAGGCGGATGCTAGGGGGTAGGCAAGCAGGAACCGAGCAGATCAGAACTAGATCAAGCGACGTCGCGTTCGACGGCAGCTGGAGGACAAGCATGCTGGGAAGGTCAGGCCAAGCGCGTGCCAGGCGCCATCAGGTGCGGAGAATCCTCGCTCCAAAGCGTGTCCCACACGTCCTTGCGCTCAGCGCCGACGTGGCCGTCGTGGCAGTGGCGGTGGTGGTGGTGGTGCTCGTCGCCGTCGTCGCGGTGGTGGTGTTGGTCGTCGTGGTGACGGTGCTGGTGGTGGTGGTGCTGTTCGCCGTCGTGGTGGTCTGGTAGTGCTGCTGGTCGTCGTCGTCGTCGTCGTCGTCGTCGAGCTGCTGGTTGCCGTCGTCCTGTTCGTGGTCGCCTTGGCGGTGGTGCTGCTGCTGGTCGCAGTCGCTGTGCTGCTGGTTGTCGTCGTAGTGGTGGTGCTGCCAGTGGTGGTGGTGCTGCTGCTGGTCGCCGTCGTGGTGGTGGTGTTGCTGGTCGCCGTCGTGGTGGTGGCGGTGTTGGTGGTGGTGCTGTTGGTGGTCGACGTCGTCCTTCTGCTGGTCGCCATCGTCGTGGTCGTGGTCGCCGTGGCGGTGGTGCTGCTGCTGGTCGTAGTCGTCGTGCTGCTGGTTGTAGTCGTGATGGTGTTGCTGCTGGTCGCCGTGGTGGTGGTGGTGGTGCTGGTCGTCGTCGTGGTGGCGTCGGTCTTGGTGGTGGTGCTGCTGGTGGTCGTCGTCGTGGTGCTGCTGCTGGTCGTCGTGGTGGTGGTGGTCGTGGTGCTGGTCGTCGTTGTCGTGGTGGTGGCGGTGCTGGTGGTGCCGCTGCTGGTCGCTGTCGTGGTGGTTGCCGTCGTGAAGGTGGTGTTGCTGGTCTCCGTCGTGATGGTGGTGCTGCTGGTCGTAGTCGGTGTGCTCGTGGGAGTTGTCGTGGTGGCGGTGCTGGTAATGGGGTTGCTAGTCGCGGTCGTCGTGGTGATCGTGCTGCTGGTCACCGTCGTCGTGGTGCGCGTAGTCGCCGTCTTGGTGGTGGTGGTGCTAGTGGTGGTGCTACTGGTCGGTGTCGTGGTGGTGGCTGCTGGTCGTCGTTGTCGTCGTCGTCGTCGTCGTCGTCGTCGTCGTCGTCGTCGTCGTCGTCGTGCTGCTGCTGTCCGTGGTGCTAGTCGCCGTCGTGGTAGCGGTGTTACTGGTCGTCGTCGTCGTCGTCGTCGTCGTCGTCGTCGTCGTCGTCGTCGTCGTCGTCGTCGTCGTCGTCGTCGTCGTCGTCGTCATCGTGGTGGCGCTGCTGGTGGTGCAGCTGGTCGCCGTCGTGGTGGTGGTGCAGCTGTTTGCCGTCGTGGTTGTGACCGTCCTGGTCGCTGTCGATGTGGTGGCGCTACTGGTCGTAATCGTGGTGCGGCGGCGGTGGTGTCGCTGGGGGCCGCCCGCCTCAGGGGCGCGCCGGCATGCGGCAAGGGACTGGGGCTTCGGTGCGGCGCGCGTCCGCCAGGACGTCTTGCAACCAGGGCTCGTCGCCGTCGCAGGCGAGGCCGTCCAGGGGCAGGTACAGCAGGGAGGCTGCGAAGGCCCGCTGCACCGCCACCGAGGCGAGGCCTGTCCACCACTGGATCCACGCTGCCTTTACTGAGGCGCGCAGAAGTTCGGGCGCCGACCGGGCCTTGCAGTCCGCCGCGATGCACGCGAATTGGAGGGCTTCCTGGGACCACTGGCCTCCTGCCTCCAGGGCCCTGGCCACTAGCCCGCAGCGCCTCGCGCCTAGGACCTCCGGGCAGGTGTCGGCAAGTCGGCAGTAGCTACCAGGGGCATCGAGCGCTTGACGACGCATGCGCTTTGCGTCCTTGCCACGAAACGTGAGGGGTGTGCCAGAGTGGTTTCTCGGGGCGCTTGCGGACGGTGGCGCTGGCGCCTTCGGTGGAGCTCCTTTCGGGGTCACGGGACGTGTGAGGGGTGTGCCAGAGTGGGTTTCCGGGGCCCCCTGTGGGGCCACGAGACGTGTAAGGGGTGCGCAAAAGTGCGCTTTCGAGGCGCCAGCGGGCAGCGGCATTGGAGTCGTGGGTGATGCGCCCTATGCGGCCACGTCGCGCTTGAGAGTGTGCCAATTTTACTCTTTGTGATGCAGGCCCTCGGGGGCCGCGCAACGCGGGGTTTGTAAAAAAAAGCTTGCGTGCAAGAGCGAGCCGCTGGTTCGAGAAGCGTTTCTCGGCTGCAAGTCTGAGGGCGGATGCGCCGCGCGTCTCACAGCGAACAAGTGTGCGCGTGAGTAATTGTGAACACTAGTGGGCCTCAGTTTGAGGGGGACTGAGTGTTATTGGGTCTGTGTGCGAGTGCGTCTGAGTGTGAGTGTGTTCTGCTGCGGGTTGGTCGGGGCGTGGGCGAGCCCCAGGCTGCGTGTCCTGTCCGAGCCTGGTGGAGTTTTTACCAAGCGCGGGGGCCACCCCGTCGGTCGCCTAAGCGGGGCACGCGCTCTGTCGGTCGTCTGCCCTCCTCCTCCTCCTCCTCCTCCTCCTCCTCCCTCCTCTCCTCTCCATCCTCCTCCTCCTCCTCCTCCTCATTCCCTTCCTCCTCTCCTCCTCCTCCTCCTCCTCCTCCTCCTCCCCTTCCTCCTCCTCATCCTCCGCTCTCCTCCTCCTCTTCCTCATCCTCCTCCTCCTCCTCTCCTCCTCCTCCTCCTCCTCCTCCTCCTCCTCCTCCTCTCCCTCCTCCCCCCTCTTGTGAAGCCTGGTGCTTGTTTTCATTGTGTTAGTGCCGAGCACCCTCGGGGCACACCGTACACGGCACTTAACTTGCAGGTGGGGCGGGGTTCAACGGCCGATTTTTCTGGAACTGCGGGCTCTGGGGCTTGGGGTGGACGTTGCGAAGCTTGTGTCGACGGGTCTCCCGTCGTTGGGTGTAGCACGGCCCCAGTGTCAGTCTGGCCATGCGGGTGAAGGCGGGCAGCGCCTGTGCGGTCATTTCATTGTGTTCTGACTTTCAGGGGTCGGCCTTTCCTCGGGAGGCGGTGGCTTGTGCCACGTCAGTCCCACGGGCCTTGTGACCACCCAGGGCTGGGGAGCTTGCGCTCCTCGGTGTGCCGTGCCAGCTGTTCCGACTGGGGCGGCTTTGGCCCCCAACGCACCATGTCGGAACCGCTGGGCCGCGAGTCTCCACAGGCGACGTGGTCACCACCTGTGCCCTTCCTGCGTAGCTGTTGCTGCTCTCCGGGCGGTAGTTCGTTGGCTGGGCGTGTGCCATGCCCGGGCGGCCTTCGGGAGACCGACCGACCCTGGGCGCCGGACTCCTCCTCCTCCTCCTCCTCCTCCTCCTCCTCCTCCTCCTCCTCCTCCTCCTCCTCCTCCTCCTCCTCCCCTCCTCCTCCTCCTCCTCCTCCTCCTCCTCCTCCTCCTCCTCCTCCTCTTCCCTCCTCCTCCTCTCCCTCCTCTCCTCCTCCTCCTCCTCCTCTCCTCCTCCTCCTCCTCCTCCTCCTCCTCCCTCCTCCTCCTCCTCCTCCTCCTCTTCCTCCTCTCTCCTCCTCCTCCTCCTCCTCCTCCTACTCCTCCTCCTCCTCCTCCCTCCTCCTCCCCTCCTCCTCTCCTCTCTCCTCCTCCTCCTCCCTCCTCCTCCTCTCTCTCCTCCCTCCTCCTTCCTCCTCCTCCTCCTCCTCCTCCCTCCTCCTCCTCCTCTCCTCCTCCTCCTCCTCCTCCTCCTCCTCCTCCTCCTCCTCCCTCCTCCTCCCTCCTCCTCCTCCTCCTCCTCCTCCCCCTCCTCCGGCAGGAAGGGCAAAGAGCTCTGGATTTGGCAGTGGCGGCGTTGGGCGATTGTCGGTTGGCACGTCGGGATCTACGTACTGATCCTATAGCTGTAGTGGCTTCTTTTGTTGATTCGTGGGCTTATTACGCCGCGCCGCCAACCCCTTGGGGCGGCAGCAAAAGTGAAAGACAACATTTGCGGAACGCGCGCGATCGCTGCGGAATCCTGGCGTTTCGTCTTGTATTACGTAGCGTGTGGGGTTCAAGGGGGGCCTTGTGGGGGATTGTTTTGAGGATGTTCGCGGTCTTATGTTGGTTTCTTGGAGCCCGCACGGGGCCTGTCCCAGGCCTCCTTCCCCACTCCCGGGGTAGGCTCGGGGATCGTTGCGATCCAGCTGGGGGTGCGTCTGGCCCGAAAGTCGAGAGTGGACCCAGCTGTGTCGACGAGGAGCTCCTGGAAGCCCAGAGGGGTGAAAGCGCTCAAGAACTGGGAGCCCCATGCCTCGAGCCTTGATCCACCCCGTTGTCTTTCATTTGTGAAAGGGGTGGCGCCAGCAAGGGAGGTCGATCCTCATCACGGACCGTCGTCGGTCCCATGCACGGAAAAACGATTCCTGGAGGCTGAATTCGGGGAGATGCTTCGGGCGGTCGAAAGACCGTCAAAATCTGCGAGGCATTGGCGGCGACGACGATTTTTTTGTTGTTCCCTTTTTTTTTTTTTTTTTTTTTTTTTTTTTTTTTTTTTTTTTTTTTTTTTTTTTTTTTTTTTTTTTTTTTTTTTTTTTTTTTTTTTTCTTCCCCTCTCCCAGTCCCAGTCCCAGTCCCTGGCCGAGTCCGCAGCGAAAGGGGCCGCTGCACCTGGCTCCCTCCGGCTGGCCCCCTGGCTGGGCTGCCGACGCCCGCGGTCGCCTTAGGCGGCCCGGCGGGCCCGCCGGCCACCGCGCGGTCTTCGCGCCGCCAGCCGCCGCCGCCCGCCGCCCGCCCGGCCGAGCCGCCCTGTGTGCCTCGGCCTCGAGGCCGCGGGAGCGCTCGAAGCCCTGGCCCGGCCGGCTCCGCTCCGTGCCCGGGCAAGGCCGCCCGCGAAGGCCGCCAGAGCTGCCCCAGCCCGGCGGCCCGCGGCCGCAGCGCCCGCCGGCCCTGCCCGCCTGCCGTAACCCACGACGTCGGGTCCCAGCTTCGCGTCCAGCATCGCGCTGAGCAGCACGAATGCCTGTTGCCACTGCCCCCTCTTCTCGCCCGCGCTGGTCCCAGCATTGTAGCTGATGACACTTGGCGCCACCTTCGCCTCCCACATCTCGCTGGGCAGCGAGAGAGCCCGCTGCCACTGCTCGCCGTTCGTGCACGCGCTGATCCCAGAGCTGTAGCTGATGACACTTGGCTCCACCTTCGCCTCCCGCATCTCGCTGAGCAGTGGGAGAGCCTGCTGCCACTGCTCGCCGTTCGTACACGCTCTGATCCCAGGGCTGATCCCAGAGTTGTAGCTGATGGCATCTGGCTCCGACCTCACTTCCCACATCTCGCAGAACAGCGATAGAGCCCGCTGCCACTGCTCGCCTTTCGTGCACGCGCTGATCCCAGAGCTGTAGCTGATGACATTCGGCTCCGATCTCACTTCCCACATCCCGCTGAGCAGTGATAGAGCCCGCTGCCACTGCTCGTCTTTCGCGCACGCGCTGATCCCAGAGCTATAGCTGATGGCATCTGGCTCCACCTTCGCCTCCCACATCTCGCTGAGCAGCGAGAGAGCCCGCTGCCACTGCTCGCCGTTCGTCCACGCGCTGATCCCAGAGCTGTAGCTGATGACGCTTGGCTCCACCTTCGCCTCCCGCATCTCGCTGAGCAGTGGGAGAGCCTGCTGCCACTGCTCGCCGTTCGTACACGCTCTGATCCCAGGGCTGATCCCAGAGTTGTAGCTGATGGCATCTGGCTCCGACCTCACTTCCCACATCTCGCAGAGCAGCGATAGAGCCCGCTGCCACTGCTCGCCTTTCGTGCACGCGCTGATCCCAGAGCTGTAGCTGATGACATCCGGCTCCGATCTCACTTCCCGCATCCCGCTGAGCAGTGATAGAGCCCGCTGCCACTGCTCTTCTTTCGCGCACGCGCTGATCCCAGAGCTATAGCTGATGGCATCTGGCTCCACCTTCGCCACCCACATCTCGCTGGGCAGTGAGAGAGCCCGCTGCCACTGCTCGCCTCTCGCGCGCGCGCTGATCCCAGAGCTGTAGCTGATGACACTTGGCTCCACCTTCGGCTCCCGCATCTCGCTGAGCAGTGGGAGAGCCTGCTGCCACTGCTCGCTGTTCGCGCACGCGCTGATCCCAGAGTTGTAGCTGATGGCATCTGGCTTTAACCTCACTTCCCCAATCTTGCAGAGCAGCGATCGAGCCTGCTGCCACTGCTCGCCTTTCGTGCATGCGCTGACCCCAGAGCTGTAGCTGATGACGCTTGGCTCCACCTTCGCCTCCCGCATCTCGCTGAGCAGCGGGAGAGCCTGCTGCCACTGCTCGCCGTTCGTACACGCTCTGATCCCAGGGCTGATCCCAGAGTTGTAGCTGATGGCATCTGGCTCCGACCTCACTTCCCACATCTCGCAGAACAGCGATAGAGCCCGCTGCCACTGCTCGCCTTTCGCGCACGCGCTGATCCCAGAGCTGTAGCTGAGAGCTGTAGGGTCGGAATAACGGAGTTATTGCTTGGCACAAATCCGCCCGCGCTGTGAACGACCCCGCGGCTGGCCGCGGGGGCGCCCTCGCTCGGCTGGTCGGCCGCGCGCTGGTCGACCCTCTTCCGCCTCCCGCTCGCGTCGTGTGGTGCAGTGCCGTGCCGTGCTTCCTCCGCCTGGCACTGGGGCGGGATATAAATACCGTGCCGTGTGTCGGGTTTCGGCCCTCCGCCCTCTGGGGGCTTCGCTCGGCCCATAGTGGCTTCCTTGCGGCCCATAGTGGCTTCGTTGCGGCCCATAGCGGCCTGCTGCGTTCACGTGCCCAATGGGGCCCTCTCTTCTGGTCCATAGTGACCACGTGCTGTCGTTGGCCCGCTCTCATTCGTCACCATGGCGCGCTGGCATGCAAGCGAGCGGGCTTCTGCTGGCGTGGTTCTCGCTCGTGCCCCGTGGCGCTGTGATTGCGATGGCGATGCTTGCCTTCTTGCAGTCTGACCCTGTTGTGGGCGCGAAGTGGACTGATATCCAGTTCAAGGGCGCCATTGATTGCCTGGCAGCCAATGGGCTGACGATGCCAGAAGAATTGGCCAATCTTCAATTCGGCGATTTGAAGGATGCCGATGGCGCGACGGCGCTGACGAAGGGCGTCCTGCGGCGCGCTCTGGATCGCGCGACGGTGGCGGCAGCCAAGGCGAGTGCGCCGGGTGCCACGGGGCCCGCGCCGGCTTCGGCGGGTCGTTTCGGTTCGGTTGCTGCAGAATCCTGGGCTCCCGCCGAAGGGAGAGCATGTCGACATCGGCGCTGGCCTGGCCAGATCAGCTTGAGGGACCTTCCGGAGTCCCTGTGGCCGAGGCTGCCGCGCGGCTTCGCCCCGGCGCGCTGGCGCGTTTCCATCGTTCGCTCAGGTCAGCGATGACCGATGCGCTGGCCACCGAGGTGCAGCGCGCGAAATCCAGGGGAATCGCGCGCCCGTTCATTTATACTGAGCTCGCGAAGTTCAAGCCGCTTTGCGCGCGCGGCGCGGGCGGCTCTCCCGACGATGACGAGCCCGAGTCGAAAGAGGCGGCCGCGTTGGCCAGAGCGTTCGGACGGGGAACCGCGGCGGAGAGCCAGCCGCTTCTGGCGTGGACGCCATGGCACCAAGCTTACGTCGCGTGGAGCGTGGCGGCCGCGGTCACTGATCAGATTTCGTACACGAGCGCCATGGCTCACAAACACGTTGTTCTCCAGGCGAGTCGACATTGGCGCCCGTCCGCTGGTCGCCGAAGTGGGCGCGCTTGCCCAGGTTGCACTGGATGCCCCCCTGCAGGGACGGACGGCCCAGGTTGCCTTGGTCTACGACCGCCTTGTGCGGAGGACGTGGGCCGAGCGTGCCGCCGCCGGCGCGGCAGGCTTCCAGGCCGCAGCTCCGCGCCAGGCTTCGGCGCGTTATTCTCGGGCGCGCGTCGGCGCGCAGGTGAACGTTGCGGCGCTGTCGCTTGACGTCGGGCTGCTCCGCGCGGCGGAAGCGGAATATGATCGGGCTCTTAAGGCCGCGTCGCCGAATCACTTGTTCGCGTTGCGCCACCGCTGTCGCGCAGGTTGCCGCGCCGGCCGGCAAGGGTGCAGGGAAAAGCGCCGCGGCAGCGCGCGGGCAGAGTGCGAGCGCCGCGAGCGCCGCGGGCGCCGTGGGAGCCGCGGGGGCGCCGCCGTCACTTCCTGGAAGAACGACCGCGATTCCAGAGCCGACGGGTGGCAGTCCCGATCCTATCGCGGGGATTACAACAAGCGCTCCTGGATTCGCGAACGGTGTATTCTCCTCAGAAGAAGCCGCGCGCCTGACGCCCGCCGGAGGCACGCGCAGCCCGCGGCGCGCGGCGATGTGCGGGACGCGCGCCGATGAGGACGTGCATCGCGCGCCACGTTGGCATTTGCATAACAACGAATGGGCGCCAACCTCAGCCACCGTCCCGTGGGACCCGCAGGCGCGCGCGCGCGCGCTGGCAGGAGGGCGCCGCGTTGTTGCCGCGTCGTCCAGGGCTTGGGTGCCAGTCAACACTCGCGGTCCGTTCGCGACGCGAGGGCCGCCCGCCCGCTGGGCCAGGAGGCGCGCGAACGCCCCGGCAGGCTCGAGCGCTCGCGCTCGCAAAGCGCAGGATGCGATGGGGCCCAGTATCGCTGCCACATGGGATTATCAGGCGCTGCGCGTTGTGGCGTGCGACGCTCGCGGGCTCGCGCGCCCGGCAGAATGCTGCCTCGAGTTGCAATGCACGCGGTTGCGCGCTGGCCACTGCCGGCTGCTGTCACCTGCCGTCGCCTGCGTCTGCTGAGGAAGCGCCTAAGCTCGCCATTCTTGAAGAGGTCCTCTCCCGTTCTCACTCCTTCGAGGACAAAGAGGCCTTTGAAAAGGCCGTGGTGGTGCCCGGCGATGTTTTGGCGGCGATCGATGGGATTGCTGCGCGCTCGGAGCGGCAGGTGTGCCGTGAGCGGCGAGCGACTCTCGAGCGAATTCGGGCCAGGGACGCCGAGCTACGCGCCTCTGGAGCGACGGCGGCCTGGTTCGCGGGCTGAATGCCCATGTGCGCACAATCGCAGGGTCGATCAACGGCCCTCTTCTCGTCGAACTGCTCGACGAAATCGGTTACGAGGACGCGGCCTGCGTGGAAGTCTTTCGGCGCGGCGCGCCTCTCGTGGGCCCTCTCCCGTGCACGGGTAACGGGCGTCCGGAATCTTTCCCTGTACCGCTCAGCCTGCCGGACTTGGCCGCGGGCGCGGAGCGAGGCAACGCCGCGCTGCTCGGCACGCTCAAGGAGTCTAGCGACTCCGCCGTGAATCTCACCAAAACTATCGCCGAAGCGGAGCTCGGCCGAATGAGCCATCCCGCGCCGCTCAGCGCGGTCGAGCTCGACGGTGCGGTTTTGTCGCCGCGGTTCGGCGTCCGGCAGTCGAGAGAGGACGGGTCCGAGAAGCTGCGGCTCGTAGAGGATATGTCGCGCTCTCGTATCAACGCGGCGTCGCAGCCGACGGAGCGTCTCGGCCATGAAGCCATCGACGCTCTGTTTGGCACTTGCAAGGCATTTGTGACGCGCGTGGGCGAAGCGCCCGGGCTCTGGAAGGCGGACTTAGACGCCGCGTTCCGGCGCGTGCCGCTGTTGCCGGAACATCGCGCCCTCGCATGGGTCGCGTTCCTCGTGGGCACATGCGTCTACGTGGCTCAGCACTTCGCCGCCCCATTCGGAGCGACTTCCTCCGTTCACAGCTGGGAGCGCATCGGCGCGATGCTGTCAGCGCTGGGCCGCAGGCTCATTTTCGTTCCCGTCCTCAGATATGTGGACGACTTCTTCTGCCCCGAACGTAAGAAAGGGCTGCGCGACGCAATGCGACAGTTCGCCGAACTGTAAGAATCATTCTGGGCCCGAGCGCTGTGGCCGACGGTAAGCTGCTGTTCGGCAATCCGCTCGGGGTCCTGGGCTTGTCTGTGGCGATTGACGAGCGTGGCCTCGTGTGCTGGCCGCTGCCGGAGAAGCGCGCCCGGTGGCGCGCCGAGATCGCTGCTGCTCTTCAAGAGGGCGCGCTCGAGCGCGGGCGCGCGTCCAAGTTGGCAGGCCGCTTCTGTTGGGCTGCCTCCCACACCTTCGGGCGGTTCGGGCGCGCGCTGCTCCCGCCGTTGTTTGAGCACGCAAGGGCGCGCCATCCTAGTATCCCGGCGCACCTGCGAGTCTGCCTGCAATGGTGGCACGAAGCGCTCGCCTGAAATTTCACCACGACGCGGGAGTGGCAGGCGCCAGACACCAGGTCTGTCCAATTGCTCTCCGACGCGCGGGGGAATCCAGCTAGAGTGGCCGCGGTTCTTTTCATTGACGGGCGCATTGTCTTCACCGATGTCGCCCCGCCTGAGCCTCTGCTTCGGCTCTTCAGGGAATGGCGCGACAATCAAATCGGCGGTCTGGAGGTGCTCAGCATCGCGCTGGGCCTGGCCACCTTTGAGCCGCTCCTGTCGGGCCGATGCGTGAACATCTTTTCGGATAATTCAGGCAGCGAGTGGGCCGTCCGGTCCGGTGCGGCGAAGCAGTTTGACCACAATTGCCTGGTCCACTCAATCTGGCGCATGGCGCTGGATGCGGATTGCAATCTGCACGTTCAGCGTGTGGCGTCGGTGGACAACATCGCCGACCTGCCGTCGCGCGAGTCATATTCCCTGCTGTATCGCTTGGGGGCGGAGTGGATTCCTCCGGTGCTGGACGATGCCTGGTTCGATCCGAGCGCGTGGCTTCCTCATCGCCGGCCATGACCGGCTCGGGCGCTGGGCGTGCGTGCAATGGATCTGGCCTTCACTCATCGGTCAGGGTGCGCCCGCCAGGTCGGGCAGGGGTTGGCGTCCTCCCTCGCGCACGTCGCGGTCGCGCTTCGCCTGTGGGCGCGCGAGGGCATCTCTGGTTGTCGGCGCACCTGGAGAATGTCATCGGTGTTCGCGCGATGGCGCTGGCTGGATTGCTCGCTCAGCTTCGCGCGGTTTGCCCTGAGGCACGCCCTCTTCCTGTGTTCGCCGCTGCCGAGCTGCTTGCCGATAACGGCGCCGACGCCGTGAGCGATTTTGTTGGCGTCACCCTGGCAGACTTCAGGGGCGCCGCGGCATTATCTTGCGACGCCCGCGAGGTGGTCCGCGCGGCTATCGCGGCAGCCCAGCGCGGCGGCGCGCCAGCCGCGCGGGGCAGGGGCAGCGCGGGCGCTTCTCCTGCGCCCGCCCCGTCGCCCGGGATTGCCCCCAGGTCTGCTTGCGCGTTCCGCGTTCGTCGCGGGCCCCCCCCCTTGTCGGCCGTCGCAGGACCGACATCGCGACGCGGTCGCCATCGAGCGAATCCGTCTCGTCATCCTCCACGGTGCGCGCGCGAATTTGCGGCATGTCGCTCGCAGCGCTAAACGCGGGCGCCAGGACAGCGGCAGGGCGCATGCAGCTCCCCCGGAGGACCCCGTGTCCGCGGTCCGGTGGGCGCTCTCAGTCGCTGGGCGCGAGGGTCGGCGTGACATGCGCGGGCCGCGGGCCGAAGCTGCTCGGGCCAGAGCCCTCATCACCTCCTCGGCGGCCGGTAAAGCGTGGGCGCGCAGGGCCCGGGTGAGCGCTCTCCTGGGCGCATGCCCGCGCTCATTGCCCGCGCTCAGCAGCGGGTTCGAGTGCTGGGTTACAGTCGCAAGGGGCGTCT